GTCAAGGTCTTATTTAATGGCAAAAAAAGTACCTGACTAAACCTCAAGTCAGTAACAGTGTGTTCTGACTTGGTAGTAAACAGGTCCAAGACGCCTGTTGGGTTCACAGTGTGGTTCATTCTCTTCCCCACACAGGAGCAACCTTCTAAGCCATCACTATGGTAATAGGCAAGCAGACAGGTTGGACGGGCAGAAGATTGTTCCTTAACAAAGTACCGTTCCTTTGCTAGCTCTACCACAAACTGCTTGTGTGGCATTGATGCTAGTCACTTCCTCTGTTCAGGCCTCAATTTTTTGGTTCTTAAAGAGGCTGACCTGGATAACCCTCAAATTCCCCCATAGGTCTGTATGGGCCGTATGTTCATTTAAAGTGTTCTGACAGAGGGAAGGCTGTGTCTTCCCAACTGTGCAGCAGGCATGGAGACTTTACTGTGAATGATCCTTACCGCAGCCATTCCCACCATGCACCTCTGCAGATGTCTTGGAGGCCAAGGGAAACCCCTTAGTGATGTGCAGGGAAGTCATGTCAGAATGGGGAAGAGAAAACCCACAAAACATTTCACAGACGAAGAAAACCAAGCGCTTTCTTTCTTAACTCAAAAAAAGAAACCTGAAGAATGTGTCTGAAAAAAGACCAAATTACTTTATTAACAAAGTAGAAACAAATACCTGTTTCTCAGGACATACACAGAGTTTTCTGAATATAATACAGAAAACACAATGGAATCATCAGTGTTTGTTTACTGAGCAAGACTGTGTTAAAGGTCCTTAACAAGGAAATTCAGAACAAAGTTTACCTGGCCCAGCTCCTTTTAGAAATCATGCCTCATTTCCATATTTTGTTCTAATTTCATAGTTTGCCTAAGGGAGAGGATAATGCCTGGTCTTAACTTTTAAGAACTGAAGATTCGGTTTATCTTGGAATCCTCTTCTAATATGTAGGATTCCTGATAACATTCAGTAGGTTCTGAAAAATGTTCAGTCTCTATGGACATTGGGGAATGCACATCGGTGATCCACCTCCTGGCTCTGCAAAATTCTTTTTTGACTTCATTTCCTTTGTAATATCAGTATTTCTGCCTTTTTAAATAAAATTCAAATAGCAAACATGTGCACGAGAAATCAGGACCTCTTAGGATAGCGTACCTGACTGTCTTGGTTGACAACACAAAGATCACTAGACCCAGGCTGGAATTTAGCTCAGCAGCATAAGCACCTGCCTGGCAAATGTGAGGTCCTAAGTGTGATCCCCGGGACCAAAAAGAAAAAAAAGATTACTAGACAATCACTCCTCCAGATCCCTCACCTATTAAGCAGAATTACTAGTGCTAGTATCATACGTGGTTCTTATAGACCCTTAAACAAAATTGATTCAGTAATTTTCACACTAAGCAAAAAGAAAACACATGGTATTAGATAATTCAAAATTTATTTTCATGTTCCAAATTTAACTTAACAGAGTGGCTTTCATTTGTCCAGACTAACAATGGAAAAATATCTGAGCACTCACATCATCAGAGAAAATTCTAATGAAACAATGTTTTTATATGTCATTAGAGAAGTGAAACAAATGCTGTCCTCTTATTAAACTGTTACCTCAGCTCACTGTTGAAAAAAATGAAATGGTGGAGAGTGACATTATACCATTTTTATAAAATATTATTTGTTGAGGATCTCTAGTCTCTAGCAGGCACTTCACATTAGTTTTTCTTGCTCATTCACTTCCAAAGTATTGCTCATCTAAACTTTTCTGGTTAATAACTGTTACAGTAAGTGTCAGTCTGCAAGGTGCCCAGTAATTCATACCCAGCTGGGGGCTCGTTCACCTTCAGGTCACATACGCAGTTCCTGTGCTGGCAAAAGGGAATAAGAAATCATCCGCTATAACCATGTGGAATTAATAAAGCAAGAATTAGCAAGATATTTTACTTTAAAAATGTGGACTGAAAAGCCGGCAGATTTTTCCAGTAGCTTCCTGCCCTCTCTTCTCCCATCGTAGTGGAGAACTGAGTTGCCCGTAGGGTTAGCTAAGGCTCCCAACTCTTACAGCTGTGATAAACATAGCAGTGGCAGAAAATGCTCTGCAAGCAGAGAGGAGAGTCCCTGAGTAAGGGAATGGATTGCCCTTTGGAAAGTGCACCTACTGGACTTGCATTTTTTGGAAATCCACCTACTGGACTGCATTTTGTAAAGAGCTCTTTGGCAGGGGTTAGGTGGAGAACAGATTCAAGGGAGAGGCAAGACTGCAGATAAGGGAAGCCAAGTGGGATACAGGGACTAATGGGGAAGACAGAGGCAGGCCCTGAGGAGAGGGGTGGGCGGTGGAGAGAGGGAGGGATGACTTCAAGATTTCTGGCTGGGTGACTGGTTGGATTCTCTGATAAGGGGAATATAGGAGAAATGGAGACGAGGTGAGGAGAGGAGACGACTGATAATAGGTCCATTTATTACAGACACGTCCAGTAGCTTTCAGATAAAAGGTTCTAAAGGACAGAGGTCAAGCCTTGAGAGAGACTGGGGCATCATTAGCGTATAAATGGGAATGAAAGCATGGCCAGGTTTCCAATCCTTACATCTTGTGAATCAGAGTCACATAGCTCTTACACAAATGCTCATTTCAGGAAGTGTGAAGTTCTCAGTGACCTATGTTAAGTGATCCTGTAGCATCACACAGTTCCTCCTTCTGATTATAATCAGAAAATTAGTTGTAGGGCCAGCCTCACACTGATAGTCAAAATCAGTCAGATCATATTTTATTTGTCTCATTTCATTTGATTCATTTGTTTAGGTGTTTAAAGAATTAAAATGTTTAAGTAATTTCACTGAGAATTTAACTTTGGAAGGTAAGATGAAAGCAAACAAAAGGAAGAACAGAAGTGAAAGAAACTGTGAGTTTACGTAGTATAGCTTAACAGGAAGACAGTGAATTCAGCTCTAGGCTTGAGAAAGTTTGATATCACAGCAGAAGATCAGATAGAATAATTAAAAATAAGAGGATAAAATGTGGTATCTATAATGGAATACTACTCTGTTTTTAAGAATGACAGATTAGAGACATTTGTAGGAAAATGGGTGTACCTGGAATATATAATGTTGAGTGAAATAAATCAGACAACATACCATATGGTACCTGTCACCTGAGTGAGGCAAGTACAAAGAAAGAGAATGATAAAGGATGGAGAGAAGGGGACGGGATGGATCTGTTGTGATAATAGAAGGCCACGGGAGCAGGGTGAGGGGGGGAGACAGAGGCAGGGGAGAGTAAGAATAAAGACATGCCATTACAGGGGCTGGGGATTTAGCTCAGCTGCCTTGCAAGCAGGCAGTCGTGAGTTCGATCCCCAGTACCAATAAAAAGTTAAAAAAAAAAAAAAAAAGATATGCCATGTACAGGAACCTGGTAACCTCAGTTAGTGTGAACACTGTACACCATAGCATGAGCTGAAATTCCAATACTAGTAAGAATGAAAAATGTGATCTGGGAATTGGAGGGAGGGAGAGAAGGAAGGGGGAAATGATTAAAAAGAAATTAAGGCATAGTCATTGTACAAAAGAGAGGAAAAGAAAGTGCTCTAAACTATATAACTGCATGTATATTTAAGTGTATAAGATAGAAAATGATATCACAGAGTTTTATTGGATCATTGAACAGAACTGTTTGCAGTATCATTGTTGGAATGTCCACTCTACAAGCTTTAATTTTGTGACTTGAACAATTATTTCTAAGATGGCAATATGTAATCCATTAACTAATGATTTCCTACTGTTCATTTTTTTCTTCTGTAAATCTGTATAACTTGTACCCTTTCACTGTTTTTTTTTTCTTTTCTCCTTAAATAAAAAAAAAAAAAGAAAGAAATTAAGGCACAAGCTGCTGTGTGTGCATATAACCACTCCACTCCCCAAGGTGACTGTAAACTGCATGAATTACAAACATGTACTTTAAAAAAGAATAAGACATGTACTTAGGAGAAGGATCCTGGCTGAGGACAGGGTTTGGGATTCATCCCGAGGATTGCGGTTGGTCGTTGCAGCTCGCATCGAGGAAGGGTTGGAGAGCAGAGGCCGTCAGTCTTGGCGGACCCTCACTTGTGGGCTGTGAATGGGCTGGGACCAGCCGAAGTGGCCAAAGTAGAAAAAGAATAATGCTAACATTCTGCTGCTAAACATGAGAAGAAAGTGCTCAGGGTGCTCACTAGACTTAGAGGTCAAGAGTGGCCAACCAGAAAATAATTGTCAGGTAGAGTTTCAGTGGCCTACAGAGGTAGGGAGATAGTATTAGACTTTTCCTATACTGCGTGCTGTGAAGTACTTTGTGGGTGTTATTTTGTTTAATCTTCACTGTCATTGGAGACGCATACCAATTCACTCGTGGTATACAAGCTGCACGATTATTTGTGCACTATACATGAGAGGTATCCTCAGTCTGCTATATGCACAAGTTTGAGAAACCATAGATCAAAACTATTCAGGAAAAAAAAATGTATCTGTGTTGAAGGTGTTTCGGTTTTGTTTTCTTGTCACCATTCCCTAAACAAGGGGGCAGAAGAGACCAGGCAAAATAAGAGAAAGGGGCCAGCCCTGAAATCGGGGGCGGAGGGGGGGTTGAGTTGAGAAAATTAAAAAACTTTGATGTAGTTAACTCCTATGTTGTAATTCAGTAGAGAGAAAGTCTAAATTTTACCTATTTCTGCTGTTAGCCCACAATTCTTCTTGGAAACTAACAGTAGAAAACATTTGGGGATAGTGAGCATGACAATTGCAGCAGTTTGAAAACATTTTCTGAGAAACAAAAAGAGTTTTCTCAGAGAAGTCAACATTTTGGCTGTTAAACCATTTCCATCAAAACAGTTTATGAGTAAGTAAAATATTTTCTCTGTATAAACATGATCATCTCATACTAATTGGGCTGTGTGAAGTGCTTCTGTTTATCCATTAGTATCTGGTGTTTTGTCAGCCTGTTTGTGTTTTGTGTCTGATGTTACACGTCTCTCTTACAGATATTGATGAATGTGTAAACAACACTGTGTGTGACAGGCACGGGTTTTGTGACAATACAGCTGGCTCCTTCCGCTGCCTCTGTTATCAGGGCTTCCAAGCCCCCCAGGACGGGCAAGGGTGTGTGGGTGAGTTACTAGAATCTTCCCAACATGTTTCATGTCTGTTTTGAAAAGAGGTAAAAGTCATCCACAGTAGGAGGAAACTTGGGCAAAATTCCATCATAATTTGATTTTATCGTATAATTTGACGTTGTACAAATTATATGTCTCGTGACTTCTGAAATGGATAGGGATACTGGGAAACACAGAAGCCCAACACTAAATGTCTTTGTGCAAGGAGGGCTGTGTAAATTCTCAGCTGAGTGGGAGGGCTCTGTAGTCCTTCCCACACAGGAAATATTTTGCTGCCTGGTACCCGTGTACAGCACCTTCTGCAGCAGAGCATGTGAAGAAAAGCTGGGTAAGAGTTTGGTTTCCAAGAGTGACACCAGTAAAATGTTGCTTTGGATCACCCAACTGTATTTCTTCAGTCTGCTCTGGGACCGAGCAGACCAGAAAGAATCTTGACTGTTGTTGGAGGTTCCAGAGTATTCTTCACCTCATACTCATAGCAAAGAAGATAGTTTGAATTTCATTTTCTGATCAGCTGCAATGTCTTCAAACTAGTTTCATTACAAAACATTCTGGCAGTTAGAGCAATTTCATGGAAATACAAGAAATGGTATAAAACTCAAGACTTCACAAATACTAGGGCTTTTTCTTTATTCTTCTTAATGAAGAAAAATAGGTGTGTTGACAACAAGGCACATGGCACTGGAAGGACATCAATAATTATTTTTGAAGATGTACAAGTAAACCATGAGTTCCTTAGCTACCCAGTTAAAACCCAAGAAAACCCAAAATCTGTTCAGAGGTTTGATGATAATATTTGAATTATTGCTTGTATGGGATTAATTATGAAATTTCTAGTCACAAAAATGGTGCATAAATTAGCAGTGTAGCTTTCAGCATAAATATTAGCTAGTCCGAAACCGAAGAATAAGACCTCATCACAATGCATAACTGCTTAGTGATGCAGGTAAGACTGTCTTAATCTCCAGCACCAACTCCTGCAGTAGTTCCCTGCCTGCCAAAATACAAGTGATTCAAATTGTGTAACATTTATTTATATTTCAACTAAATAAATTCTGTGATTTGGCCCCTGCTTATTTACCTAACCTCTCCACTCCCTCCCTCACAGCACAGGTAGTTGGTTGTCGCTTGCACCTTCTGCTAGGAATCCTCCCTGCCTCCCCTCTGCTTCCTGAGCCTGGCTCCATCTCACTGATTCCTGAAGTGTGAAGCCTGGGGCCTCTGCCCGTCTGCCCTGGCTCTTTCATTGCTCTCAAGCTGAGATACGGCCTTTCTTCTGCTTCCAGGGCACCTCCAGCAAGTTCTAGTGTAGTGTTTGTAATCTTCGGGGAAATAATTTAACCCTGTGTGCTGCCTGCAGCCCTCTTCACAGGGCTGTGATCTCCCCTGAGGGGCAACAATCTGAATTGCTCTTTGCCTCTCTGTCTCTGTCTCTGCCTCCCCGGCCCCTCTCCCTCCTAGCTGGGTACAATCATTGGTCTATTGTAGGCACTCAGTAAGTTTTCTCTAACTGTTCACTGTGGAGGTTTGAGATGTTGAGGCATCATGGACTCTGCATGGCACCTGAGCTTCTGCTTGGTGTTCAGTTCTAACCAGCTGAATGCACACACGCACACACGATGGCATTTGTGTTGGGCACACGAAACACCATCCTTAGAGAAAGGAAGTTTGTCGTCATCATGGTGAACATATTAACTGATAATGACTGGAAGTGTAGCTCAGTGGTAGAGCATTTTCCTGATATGTTCAAGGTCCTGGGTTCCATCCCCAACTTCGCAAAAACAACAATAATAATAAACTGAGCACTTCCTAAATGTCCTTCGTCACCCTGGGTGAGGAATCAGCTTTGGCTGTGCCATGTCCTCTGCACTTCTCTGTATTACCTGCTCATCCCTCGGGTGTGGGCTCAAATACTAATGCTAAATGCACAAAAGGACCATTTCTCATGCTTCCACAGAACCCGGTACTCCTTAATCCTAGTGTTCGTGACAGCCTGGGAATTTCCCTGACTTGATTCTAAGCTGCAGGAAGGCAGGAGCTGTGTCTGCCTGTCACTGTTTCCCCACGTATAAGGCCAAATGGGCCCCATCCTACAAGAAACCTAGAGACTGGATTAAATGAGTGCAGTCTACTGGTGAAATCTCAGTAGCTATGTAAATGAGCTGGAAAGTAAGTTTCAAATGTTTAAAAGTGAACTGGCAAATTTATAAAGTCAGCTTTTCTTTTCTGTTCTACATGATTGTCTATACTGACTAAATGTTCCAATTCTGCTTTACTGTCTATTACAATATCTTTTTTATAAGTGAAACCCAGCATGTTGGGTTTATATCTATTTATATACAAAGTGAAAATGGGAAACTGAGGTAATTATCTCAATAAGTCACAAGCAGTGTACTTTTTGTCCTCTAAATTGGATATAGGAGGTTAAAATAGGATGTTTTTCCTTAAATGAGTTGGATAATTGCTCAGAATTTCAACTTCATATAAGGCATTGCAGAGTGTGCTCATAAAAGCTGATGTTTTATGTACATATTTAATGTATAAGGCTCAAAAGAATTTCAGATGCCAGCTACTTTGCTCACAGGGCAGTCACTAATTAAACTTTTTAAGAAGAGAAAAAATAAAAAGTACTATTGGGCAAACTCAAATGTACAATTAACCTTTAGGGCTGTGTCTTGTGTTTGCATGATGTTGAATAAGTCACAATCATCAGTGAGCTGCCTTGACTGTGTTTAATACTTACACATGAGGAAAACACCGAGCACAGTAACAGTTACACTGTGAATAGCAACAGAACTTGAAAAGGTACAGTGGGTGGCTGTTGCCAGTTTGGTTCACCTGAATGATTAATGTACCTGATGAATACTTATAGCAATCCTGCCTTTATGTCCTAAAATTCTACTTTATAAATGTTGGGACTGATGGAAAACTGTATTTTTGGACACTTAAGTAGGTTAAGGAAATGTAAAGATTCTGTGGTTGCTGACGTGCTCATGCTTCTATTTTTTCTGAAGAGCTGAGTGCTGGTTCACGTATGACTTCACTATGCTGAAAACTCAGGGAAGGCATAGCTAGACGTTAGAGGGTGCGTACTGTGCTTCCATAATCCCAGAGAGTTCCTTAAAACTAGCCTGGGAATTCAGGATCTTTGCCTTACATTTGCATGGTTCTCTCATATGGGCCAAATGGTGCAGTTTGCCCACAGAGACCCCTTCCCTAAAAGAGTGAGAGGGCTTTGATTGCTCCCCGAGGAGCGCCTCATTTCCAGCAGACGCTCCTGGCCTTGGCACAGCTGGTAAAATAAAGAGCTGTCAGGAACGAGGCGCATGTTTCACTTGATCTGTGTTCCCTTTTCCAGATGTGAACGAATGTGAACTGCTCAGTGGCGTATGTGGGGAAGCCTTCTGTGAAAACGTGGAGGGGTCCTTCCTGTGCGTGTGTGCTGATGAAAACCAGGAGTACAGCCCCATGACCGGCCAGTGCCGCTCCCGCTCCTCCAGAGGTGAGTCCAGGTGGCGTCCTGCAGGGGGTGGACCTGCATGGCGTGGGCTAACTCTGTGAGCGAAATAAGAAACAGCCTTCTCGAAGCTTCCTTGTTCTTCCTGTGCCTGCCTTATCAGTGGACTTCAAATGTGAGCAATGGCTCTTTGGGCCTCTAATAAGGTTTCCAACTGAAACACCAGGAGTCTAGCTCCAGGATGATGGGAACTTCTGCTGGGGAGTGGACACAGCTACCAGCCAGGGTTTACTGCGGCACTGTCTCATTCAATTGCATCATTCTTTCTTCTCCCCTGGAGGAATGTGTGTTAGCACTTCTCTCAATTAAAAGCAACCTTCTGAGGATCTACAAAGACTTCCACGAAGAATTCTTAAGCTGTTTTCTTCTTTTCTTCAGAATTTGGCTAGAGAGTGGCCACGTTTGTGTTCATTTACAATTCGATTTTGTCACTGTACAAGTTGAAAGGGAAAACTGGTGGTTTTGCAGATAAACTATCAACTTCCAGGTCACAGATAACTCTTTGAGTCCCTGCTGTGTAACTATCACTTGAATTTTGAGAAAACCAAAAGACCAAGCAATCCTTTGAAAGCCAAATAAAATGAAACATAGGCTATTTTAGCTATGCTTCTCTAATAACTTTTTCTATTCCTTATTAGGGAACATTTATTCTGTATTTCGTAACTATTTTTATAAGTTCTGGGGACAAAAAGTATAAAGTAGTTTCATCCATACATTGTTTTCCAGTTAGCAAATTTAGAGGGGCACGAGGTACATAATTAAATGGATAGATAGTAATTTGAACACCGTGTAGTGGGGAAGAGGCAGGTTTATTCAGGTGGTCGCCACAGTGATGCATATGACGTAAAAAAGACTTTAACTTAGTCATCCTTATAATAGCTAAAACAAACCAGGGATCTAGTTGGCATTAAGTAACTGCCAAAGTTAAGTAACTGCTCTTTTCTTATTCATCCTTGGCTCCATAGGGTAACACCTCATTTGAAGTATTATTTTAAGTGAATTAATTCATATATCATAATTTTGTCAAATCATTAAATGATCTGTATGAAGATCAGGTAGTCAAGATCCAGCTAAGTTATATGATATGATGTTAAATGAAAATATCCCACTGATCATACTCTACAGAGGGAAGAAGTGTAAGAATGCAAATAAAGGTGATTGTAGGAGGTCATGCAAATTTAGATTTTCCCAGACTTCTTGTAATAGGGCATGGTGATGTATGCCTAAAATCTCAGCACTCTGGGAGGCTGAGGCAGGAGGATCACAAGTTTGAATGTACCCTAGGGAATTTAGTAAGACACCCTAAGTTTATTTTAAATAAAGTATGTGTGTAGGGGATGGAATGTTGTTCAGTACGAAAAGGCCCTGAGTTCAATCCCCAGTGCTGATTTTTTTTTAAAGAATGACCAATACCTTGGTCTACTCACTTTTTTAGATGTGTAAATGTAGGCAGCTTGAGTTTTACTTCACAGTGTTTCATGTTTTAATGAAATCATATACGAAAAGTATTTGTTAATTGCAAAGTACAGTATGAAGTATACAGTAAGCCATTCCACAGACATATCAAGAATATATATGTCTCATCTTGTGTTGTCTTTAGAATTGATAGATCTTATAACTACGGTTTTTTCTGGTAACATATTTTGATTGCATGAAGAAATGGTTCATCCAAGTCCCATAGCATGAGTAGGGAGCATGTCTGAGATCCTGAAGTTGGGTCTCCTGTCTGTTTTTAAGAGACTAATAATTCCTTAATGGGACCATAAGACAATCAGAATCACTTTTGCTGCACAAAACTGGCTCGCTGGAAACTGTACTGTCCGACTTTATGCCACCCCTTGCTGTGATCCTTGCTCCTCATCGCCTGCCTTTTAAGTTTTTCCATAACTGAGTTCCTAACACCTGCTTTGCTTTGTTTCTCCTCTTGCCTAATTGCTGTCCAATTTGACTTCTGGTGTACCTCAGTTTGCATCGTTCTTAGCAAACTTAGGTTACGTGGAGTTCCAAGACTACCCCTGGTGGTCATCATGTTAAACAGTTCTCTAGTAATTAAGCAATGTTGCAACCAGAATCTTCTATCTGACTTTATCAGATTAGTTCTTGGAAAGTGATTACAACTGGAAATCATAAAAAAGACCAATCTTTGAAATTTTTCATTTAAAGCATAAAAATGTACGTTCATTCAGCACTCTTTAAGGAAACAACAAAGTCTTTGAGTAGAGGCCCCATCTTGGCATTCCATGTGGTTTGTACACTGCCTACTTTAAAAAGAGTTAAGAATTTAAAGACCTTTATAAAGCAAATGAGTGCAAAATTCCCCTAGATTTTTTTATACACTTGAATCATCTCTACCTAATTTGGCAGCATTTGTTTTACTGTTACCCTTATCTAATTTTTCTAAAACACTTGCTTAGTAATATAACACATCTTTAGGGTGCTCAAGCTTTATTGGTTTGATGACTGTTTAATTAAATTGTATAAGTACAGTCATCAGCACTGGCACAGAACACGTGAGAGGAAACACAGCCGAGCGTGGCTGGAGCACAGCTCACCTGACGGCAGAGGCCTGGATCTGTGTGAGAGGCTCCGGCTGGCTGTGCTAGGGTGCCAGCCAGGACGTTTCTCAGAAGCAAGAGAACATCTTTAACCCAGCAAGCTGGTTAAATGGAGAAAAGAGTTTGTATCATACCGCAGTCAAAAAATCTGCTCTTACACAGGCCACCGTCTTGGGTACCAAGTTGAAACAAGTGTTTAACTAGGATTCATATTAATTTCATTACAGATGTGATACACTCTCAGCCCTCATTCTCCTCCTTCCTGGAAAGTGTTAGGAAAGGGAAGAGAAACGATACTCAGCTGTGTGCAGTTTCCCCGTGATAATCCGCCCTGCAGCAATGAGCAGCCTAGAAACATCTGTCAGATCCCACTGAGGACAGAACTGTGGCTCATGGATGTGTGATGCCAGGGAAGCAGATTTCGGATCAGTATCTAGAAGGCCTTCCTAGTCACTACAGAGGGGTAGGTTAGCAAATAACTGTGTGCCACAGTAGTGAATGTTTTTCCTAAGGTATCCAAGCACTAGCGGGGCGGGCTACCAGTAAAAGGATTTTGTGCCAGCAACCTTTAAGGTACTTTTGAACGCTTAATATCTTAGGATTTATTTTTTTCTAAACTACTGCCTGGCTCCCACATAACTGTTCTTTTTGGTCTAGTCTAATATATTTCACTGCCTGGGCCTCTGACCATTAATTTACATGGCTGTACATAGCTTGCAAAAAGCATCTGAAGCAGAAATAACTTTAAAAAAAACTGTCCATACCAAGCCATTCATCACATCCGCGAGGGCATGGATATGAAATACAGTCTGATGCTTTTATGCCTTTATTTCCTTAGTGCCTGTGATAATTGCTCAATAAAACTTTATGTCTTTGGGCACTCTAAAGGAAGCAGTAAATATTTAGTCTTGGCAACTGCCGCCATCAAATCTTACCCACAAAATGCTGTTCTCTTCCTTCATGGGTGAGCAGAGGGGATTCAGTGGTAGAAACTGAATCTGATTTTTGAAACAGAAGGTGTGATGGAAAGGATGTTGAAAAAGATACTTATTTTTAACTGATGTCATCTAAGAAAAGCAAGTAAAACCAGAAATTATAAGGCATATAGATGGAGGTAATTATATTGCAAAATGTTTGTTTGCTTTACACAACTTTTTATTAGAAAGTATCTTTAAATACAGATTTTCTCTAATTCATTTGAGAGCTGATTGTTGCATTTTGAACTATATCCTAGACTTCTACATTTAGAGACCACTTTAATGGTTTTCCAGCCTGGTCCTCTATTTGTAGGTAAAGAGATTGAGGGCCAAACTGAAGTCATAAATATTATTCTTGGGGTCAGACAGCTCATGAATGGCAGAACTGGTACAGGAACTCTGCTTGGGGAATTGCCCACTTCATTATTTCTACTTCTTAGAGCTGAGGACCCCAGACACCAAATTCTTGACTTCCTTTTCACTGTTACTAAAATAATACACATTTATCGTAAAAGATGGCAAACATAAAAACATAACAATAAAAATTTTTTGTAGTGTCACAATCCAGGGATCACCCCATCACCATATTGACCTTCCTGCTGGGAAGGGACCCCGTATGCCTCGAACCTCCACAGGAGCATCGTCCGATTGCTCCTTGTGCACTGCCATCAGGCCCCGACCCTTCTTCTAAGGGAATGTGCTTTCTCTTGGGTAGCGAGTGAGCTTCCTGTGCTAAAGCCACCGATCCCATTGCAGACTCCAAACTCTGGAACATTTGACGGTGGCTTCTCTTCTCCCCTCTTCTTGTCCACGTGACTGATTTCAGAACATTTACTTCTCCTGTGTCCTTGGACTGCTCTTCTCTCGCCTCATTCATTCCTAGGCTCGTCTGCTCTTTCACATCCCTTGCAATATCCCAGAGAGTTGCCTGCTTAATGCTCTTGTTACTCAGGTTCCTCTTTTGGGACATTTTATCTGAGTTAATGCACCACTTAGCATGCAGTGCCCACTAAGTATCTTCTGCCCCACTTGTTGCCCGAGTGCCATGCTCCTGTTTCCAGTTGCTTGTTGGGCCTTTCTTTCAGGGTATATTATAAGCATCTCTGGCTGACAGTTGCCCAAAACCAAATGAATTACGTCCTTCCTCCCGTGTGCATGCGTTAATTGCCAGACATCAGTATTGGAAATCCAGAGTTGTACTTTGAAGTTTGCCCCATCCTATCAAGGACTGCATCCAAGCCGCCATTGTATCCTGCCAGTCTCACCTCCAGAGTGTCCTTCAGATGGCTCCCTTCCCCGTGACTGCTGCCTTCGGCCAGTCCTTCAGCATGACCACAACCGCTGCGGTAGCTTTAAGATTTCTCGCCCTGCCCCTGTCATCAGTTCTTGCTCTGTACACTGCTCGATAATGTTATCCAAACAAATCTGGTTTTATATCCTCCTTTAATCTTTC